CTTCTTTTTTTTCAGACCATACCGTGTTAGTATCAAGTTACTTTCATTTATGAATAATTGTTGACATCTTGCAATGAAAGTTCGTGGAAGTAAGGAATATTATTGAATTTCAAAAAGGGTAAATAATAGGATGGCATCTGTGTGGCAAGTCAAATCCAGAAATTGCTAGGTTTTTCCAAGTTAATCATTAAACGGTTAATAATATTGTGAATAAATTTAATGAAGAAGGCCATTGTCGTGTTCAGGAAGACCAAGCATCATGTCTGAGCGAACGAAAAGGGCGCTGAATAGGGAAGTCATCAGAAACTGTCGTCAGAGCGTCAAAAATATCGCCAACAGCATGGAAATGTCTCCATGTGCAGTGAGAAAGACTCTGAAAGAGCTAGGCTATCAAAGAAGTTGCAAGAAAGAAGACCTTGATTTCAGAGGTTAGGAACAGGCGTATGGACTGGGCGAGAGAATTCGAGAACAAAGATTATGAATTTTGGCAGTCTGTAATTTGGTCAGATGAAAGTAAATTCTGCTAATATTCTAATTCGATGTTTGGAGAAATCGGAATGAGACTTGGAACACCGAATGTCTGCAAGCCACCGTGAAACATGGAGGGATTGGAGTAATGGTGTGGGGCGCTGTCTGGGTTGAAGGGAAATCTGAGCGGATTATTGTTGACGAGCGGTTGAATGGTCCAAAATACTGTCAAATATTAGAGAAAGACTACTCGCTCTATTTGAAACCAATCAAATTGACAAGAATGTCGACCTTTATCAAGAATATGGAGCTCCATGTCATGTGAGTAAAGTAGCGAAGGCCTGGAAGGAATCGCAAGCAATAAAGTCACTGCCATGTGTAACCTAAATTCCTGATCTGAATCCAATAGGAGTTTGGGAGCACCTTGACCGAAGACTTCGAGAGCATGAAACCAAAATCACGACAGTGGCAACCTTAAAGAAACATTGTTAAAGGAGTGCCAAAATATGGCTCTGACGATTGTTGATAACTTGATCAAATCCATGAAAAATCGAATACAAGCATTGAAACTAGCAAATGGAGTATCTACTCCATACTCGTTCCAAATACTGTTTGTTTATGTTGAATAGGGATTACGTCATTAAACTTTGAAATTGGGTGTAGTTTATTTCTCCTGGCTAAAAACTTTTAAGACACTGCATAGGCCATTCAGAATATAAGATGTCTGTGTGTGTGGGCGATTTTGAAAAGTTCAACGATATTCGATTTTTTATCAAGAAAACCGAATTCATTTGTTCTTCAAGAAACAAAAGATTTAATTTTATAATCGGCTTTCGTCATTACAAATCATGAAGATTACGTTCATGAAAAATGAATATCATTTTTGACACATTTGAACGGCATTTATTTATTTTGATTTCTTTTCCTTGATATCAAAAATTTCACCAGAGACCGAAGGTAAATGAACGTTTTTTTTAAAGGAAGGCATTGAATTTTTTGAATAGAAAGTTATTTTCTAAATACAATCTTTTGTATTTCATATAAAGAAACACTTCCTAGGACTTTTTTTAAATGTATCAATATTTTTCTCAATCATTCCCAGTGTTCCTATTACTACTACTACTACTGTATGATCAGGTCTATATGATAACATTCATGTTCTCTGAAGTATTTAAAACAATATATACACTCTGTCTATATTTCTGTGATGAGGAATTGTAACTATTTACACTATTTACATTGTTCAGATCTTTGTTGTCATATTGATGACGCTTCGGCCGTTGTACCCTCCAGCCTTCTTCAGGTAATTGGAATTTCGAACCGAACACTTTATTTCGTCCACTGGAGTAGATTGCTCTAGTCTCACGTACCATGCCTCCTTCGGATATCTCAGCATCAGTTGCAGTTATTTTCAATGCCTTTATCCACTGTGCCATGTGTCCTTGGTTCAAGTAATCCAGTGACTTGACCTGAAGAGTTGTGAGTTCAATACCTGGTCGCAGAAGAGGTGAACAAAAATTTGAAGAGTTACTAAAGAGCAATAAATGAAACTAAAATATTCAGAAGAGTCATGGCACGTGAAACTAGAACAGTCTACCTCGATGGACGAAATTTCAATCTACCCGGTTTGGTTCGAAATTTCAATCACCTGAAGAAGGCCGGAACTTACAACGGCCGAAAATTCGTGAATATGACAACAAAGATGAGGACAACAGCCCTAACAATGTAAATAGTGTAAATAATGTATACTCTAATAGCCTGTGCCACCGTCAGTTGTGAGACTTGTTTTTTTTTTGTTTTTTTTACTCAGCGTATTTTCTGCATGGAGTAGATTATAATGTTGGTTTATCTTCCAGCTAAAGTAATCCTCTAATATAAAAGGTGTTTTCTTAAAACGGATTATATATAAGGATGTTTCATTAAGACGGATCAAAGTCAGCAGTAAATAAATCTGTGTCACTGGTGAAATTTATTTATCTCTCTATTGGATCATGTTATTTAAGTCACGGCGATTATGTGTGGAAAATAATATCGCCCAAATGTCCGCCAAATCTGAAAGAAAAAGAAAAAAATATCATTAGACGCTTAAACTTAATTCACATTTAAAATCGTTATTGGAACACTCTTTATCATGCCTATTTTTAAAAACATTTGGTGCTAGGGTAGAGAATCAAGTATTAAATGATCAAGAGTGTCCTCAAGGTCAGTACCGAAAGAAAAAGTTGGATGTACTTTAATTCTTAAAATATCTGTCTAGTAAGATCTTGTTAGGGGGTCTTGATCTTGAGTTGCTAAGAAGACATATTCTGCCTGCAACTCTGCAACTACTGACGGCTCAGATATTTGTCTTTTATGGCCATGTGATTACTATAGGTATCGGCCATATAAGGTTTTTTCTTCCCTTTTGGTTTTCAGAATGATTTGGTACTTAATTTTTGCTTTTAACTTGATATATTTGCCATATTTTTTGGTATTTCGTTTCATTTAATTTTGAACATTTAGTTGTAGAATTTGATTGATTTTTTTAGCATTTCTTAATATAGAATTATTTAGTTTATATAAGGAAGTTTAACATCCAATCATTTATTAGTTGTAAATAGTTTCCAAGTCCTATGAGTATATTTTTATATGTCAGTTCTAATTGAACTAATCCTCTTTCTGTCGCTGGGCTGGGCATCGGTTTTGTAATAATACATTTTATATATGGGTAGATATTCTTGATCTTTTTATCTATTCGTCGCACTTCTTCAAGATTCCAGTTTGTCAGATTGACTCATTGGGGCCGACAGGCTTTAATGGGTTACTGACAGAAACCTAGAATTAATAAGGTTTTTATTTTTTTTATTTTTTTTAAATAAACCTAGTATTAATAATGAATTTAAGAAAAGGAGAGCAACGGATTACTTAGAATAACTAGAGAAAGAGAGAGAAGTAAAAGAGAGAGATAGTTAGAAGTGAAAAAGAAGTGAGAGAGAAAAGAGGTGAGAGAAAAGTAAGAGAGAGAAGTGAGAGAGAAAAGAGGTAAGAGAGGAGAAATGAGAAAAGAGAAGGAGTGAGGGAGAGAAGAGTTGTGTGTGTGAGAGAGAGAAGAGGTCATAGAGAAAGAAGCCAGCGTTTCTTAGACACATACTTAACCTTCGTAGGGCATTTCGAACTCAAGAGAGATAAGGGAATGTAGCGAGCCACTTACCTGACGAGCTTTTGTTAATGGATAGCGTGACTGGGTGGGGAACAGATGTTTTATCAAATTTAAAAACGCTGTTAAGGGTCACTTGTGATAGGAATTTGTGGAGAGCAATGATCTCCACGAGTGATAGGAATTTGTGGAGAGCAATGATTGCCACGAGTGATAGGAATTTGTGAAAAGCGATGATGGTAGTGTTAAGAAAACTGTATTGATTTGGAGAGGATGTTATAATAATCCAGAACTTTTACTGGAAGCAAGCCACATGTATACGGATTGAAAATTAATTGAGTCGATACACTAACATAGAAAGTAGCTTCTCACCGGAATTTTTCAACCTCTATAGCGAGCCTATTCGAAAGGAGCTGGAGATCCTACGAGGATTTATTATCGGTGGGCACAATCTTAACAATATGAGGTAAGCAGATGATATGGTGCTGAAGTCAGAGACAGAAGGAAAACTACAGGGCCTCTTAAGCAAGGAAGTAAAGCAAAGCGAAAAGAAATGAATAACCATCGACTCAAAGAAGTTAGAATGCATGGCTATCAGCAAGAGAAGAAGCCCAAGATAAAAACCATGAATTGTAGATGTCAGTTATAGGAGGGAATTTTAAATATCTAGAAAGTGTTTTAACAGACGATCGAAAATACGACACCGGAATCTGAATGTGCATTTGAATAGACAAAAATACATTACAAAAGTTAAAAAATGTATTAAGAAACAGATAAAATTCGTTCAAAACAAAGAAAAGACTCAATCTTCTTACATAGCAGTGAATGCTGGACAATCTCCTCACAGATGAAGAGAAGACTGGAGGCAACAGAAATATGGCTCTCCAGAAGGATGCTGAGAATACAAATGGATGGAGTGCATAAACAACGAAGAAGTCTTAAGGAAAGTGGAAACAAAAATAACACAGGCTCAGAATCAGAAAGGTACAGTCAAAATTTGTTGGACACATAATGAGGAATGAGTATTTGAAGAATTTGACACTCACAGGACATATCGAATGCAAAATGGACAGTGGGACACAGCGGGCCAGTTTCCTGTCCAGTTGGTGTAAATGGATGGTGCTGAACGGGGATTGGAAGAGGTAGAAAAAAGGCAAACGTTACTAAGTGCTACAATGGATAGAAAGTTGTGGAGAGCTATGATTACCCACGCCCTGAAGGGACACGGTACATAGAAGAAAATCCATACACTGCGCAGTCCTTATTAATTTCCCAGCTGCATCTTGATCTTTGTAGACTTAACATGTTGACTGTCAGAAGTTAAATACGAAATCTGACGGATTCAACTGAAATCTTAACGTCGTTTTCACACTGAAGATGGCTTACGATTCCATCACGTTGAAACACGGGTTCCCGTAAGATCACAAAAGTTAAGCAATGTCTAGCCTGCTCAGTACCTAGATGGGTGACTGCATAGGAATACCAGGTGCTGTAAGCTTGGATGTGCGAGTGGTGTAATGGATAATGACTCGGAATTGTTAATAGGAAAGCCGAGTTCTAATTCCAGTTGGGTTCGTTAAATTCCCTTACGCGCAAATACCCTTGGGAAACTTATGAAACCACCGCTTCTTCCCCGATTAGTAAAACTTGTATCACTAAATCATTTTCTCAAAAAACATTGTTACAATCTAAAATATTTTCTGGTTTGAAATAATCTGCAAAGGGTTGATAAGTCGTAAAAAAACGAATCAATCAATTAATCATACTAAAAGTATCAAGGCGAATAAACTCGTTGGCACGAGATAACTCGTTGATGGCGGTTTTTATTATAATGCTAACTACGAGTTAATCCGTGATTGGCACTCAATGTATTAAAAAACGTTTTTGTATTCTTTTTGCTCTTCTTTAAAGGATTTATATATTCTTTTACTTAAAGTAGATGTGAGTGTATTGTATGTTGGGAAAAACCTGTGACGATTGTCATCAGTTTTGTGGATTACATAAGTGATGCCCTGAGTGAGACATTCTGTGTCATTCTATTATTAGAAAAACAATTCTACTAATGGAATGGTGGAAAAACATTTAACCGAACGTTAGGTACCTTATCTATTCCTTGTCATTTTTTATTTTAATTTTTGAAAGATTTGAAAGCTTATATCTTTTGAATAGCCACCTTGTTCCATTTGTGTTCATCTATTTCATACTCGCGATGTGTCCTTAATCACTTCTTCGCTACTTTGATAATTTCTTTCCATTTCCTCTTATTCCAAATCTCTAATTTCTTTATTTGATGCTTTTTTTCTATAAAATTCGTTGATCTCACACCATTTCTCCGTATAATTTGTTGATCTCACCATTTCTCTGAAGAATTTTCTCTTTTAGTTTCGAAAGTATTGTTTTGCTTATAAAATTAATTTCTTTTCTCACAATGCATCTTTTTGTGCTTTTAATTGAGTGCCTTGTTCAAGTCTTTCTCACTCTCTCAAAGTTGGCATGTCATTTTCTTCTTTGATATTTACATTTCAGTTTTAATTTCCTGCTGTTGTAACTGTGAACTAAGAAAAAGGAAGCACCGTTTCAGCTATCGTTCAGAAACGGAAGTGCCGTCTCGGCCATATTGTTTATATGTCAATAAAAGAGTTGGAGTATTGCTTCAGTGATAGAAGGTATCAGACTATTGTTATTGGTTTTTGAAGTCTCGTTTTGGACGTAACTGTGACAAGTTTAGTTTATTTTCAGTCGAAATCTTCTTTTTTGAATCTTTTAGTTAAATTGATTTTTGCTACTCTTTTTTCCTTTATCGTTTTTTTTTCTCTTTCAGTTTTATTTTTCTCCTTGTCGACTTTAAGTCGCTATCTTTAATGTTATTTTTCTGGTGTAAAAAAGCTTCACCAGTTCAGTGTTTAGTGTTTTTATTTCATTATTAATTAATTTATATTTTATTTTTGTTTTGAGTTTCGATTTTTAATTTTTCCTTGACAGCAGTTTTATTCGCCTCCTTCCCACTTAGACTTTTTCATTTCTATTTTTTTTCTAGGCTACTATTTTTCATTCAGTTACTATTTTTTAAAACTTTTATTCATTTTCCGTCGTTGGACGAGTTTTATTTTTATTTAAACCCTTCGGGGTATTTCTTTGTACTTTTCACCTAATTTTCTTTTACTTTTACGAACTTTTATTTTTAATTTAAGTCCATTTTTCTTTTTTTTTTTTTTGTTCAAGCCAGTTTCTTTTTAGAGTTTGTATTTTTTTTTGTATTATTTCTTTAATTATCTTAAACATTCGGGTTTAATTCTTGGTAGTTTTCACCAAATTTAATCTCAACATTCATTTCCTGGTTGAGTCAGATTCTTGATTGTATTTTATTGTTTCGATTTTGTATCACTTTGTATTATTCCTTTATTTTTTTTACCTTCACGATAAATTCCTTTTTTTTCTTTTTTTTCTTAAACTATTTTAATTTATTTTTCAATTGAAACAATTTATCATTTTCCTGGTTAAACCAGTTTTCTTATTGATTTGGATTTTTGTATTGTTAATTTTCTACACACTTTATTTTAATTTATATTTCCGGCTACCTTTTTCTTCCTCCCCTCCCCTTATTCTTCCCTCTTCTTATTTCTATATAATTTACCACAAGGAAAAAAAATTCTACTTCCTTTACACGTTTAAAGAACAATATGGCCGAACAAAGTCGGTCGATCCGAAAAGATTTGTTCGGATTAATCTTCAAAATGTTCCACCTGATAAACAAGACACTATGGAATAACCGGAATTTTTAAAAAAAGTGTCAGCGGAAAAGCTAATTCTATGGAGGCCAGTAATAGCCAACATTTGACAAAAAATGTACGGAGGCGAACATTATCCAAAAGTTGACCAAGAAGAGTATGGAGGCCATGAATGGCAAAAATGTATCCAATGAAACTGTGAAAAAACATTCGGACAAGAACGAAAATGCTGAGATCGGTGAATCGCCTTGTTGTTGGAAGTCCCCTCCGAGATACATTATCAATAATGCGGAGTTTTTGGAGCGAGTCAAGAGTTACGCTGAACTTGAGAAGCTGGACTCTTGGAAGACCCCCAAGAATTTAAGAAAATTGAAAAGAGCGTAGTCCGTCTTCGTGGTGGACAAGCACACGCAGAAAATTGATCGCTCCACGAAATACACGGTGGTAAAATCACTGGAATACACGGGGGTTAAGCCACAGCGAATAGTTAAAGGTGAAGGCTTCTCCATGTAGGACATATTGCTACCAACAAAAGAAGATTGTGTGAAAGCCACGAGATCGCAAAAGATCTAATCTAGCTGACCCTTATCAAGATGTGAGGTCTCCTCTCAGGGCATCGGGGAGCATCTTGCTGTGTTTCATGCGCAGTATGGCGAGATACTGGATGCCTCCTGCGATAGCTTAACTGGGGATAGAGTTTTGAAATCATGTTAGACCGAAAAGTCTTCCTCTCTATCCCCAACTGTCTGGAAGTAGGGCCCCTGAAGTTGCTGGTCATTGTTATCGGCCGCAGACCAACTTGCTGGAAGTGTGGATAAGCTGGTCACCTCTCCTCTTCCTGCCCTGGAATTCAGGTCCCGATCGACCAAGATCCCCCTTTAAATTCCGTCACGCCTGTGATGGGCATGCTAGCTTCCGGGACCGGTGCGTTTAAGCCCTCGGTTGGGTCAAGTTCACAGTCCCCATTTCCCGAAAAGCCTTCTTCCGCTGCTAGTGCAGTTGTGTAGAAGGGAGAAGGGGAATGAAAAATTGTTGGTTGGGTCAGAGGGAAGCACTAGAAGCCTCCTGTCAAAAGTCACTGACAAACCCACTCTCTCTTTAGCAGCGTTAAAGGCCTCAAAAATTTGATCTCAGATATGAATAGACTGAAAAGATAAAGATTCTCAAAGCTAAACTAGAAGCTGACTTAAAACATTCACCAGCAAAAAAGGCAGCAGAAATCCCAGCCTATACAGACAAAGCACTTATTACGCCCCTTGTCATACTCCCAGTCCTCCCCCCAGGAAGCATACTGAAATTCCACCACTTTCTAAAATACATAGAATCCCTTCGGTAAGGCTAAAGTAAAAAGAAAATGCCCAGTAAGTTTCCATACAATTTAGAGGAAGATGTCTGCCGCATTTCCCCGGCCCTGGCTGAAAGAACAAGAAATTATGGAAATATCATAAAAAGAATTGAAGTACCTATTGTCCATCAAACAGTACGGGGACAAAGATGTGGAAGTCCCAGAAAACTTCCCAGAAGCCCAAAGAGTTCTGACGGTCATCCAAACTGGATCGGGGCGCGACTGATATGGGGTATTGTCGAGGAGGCCATTAATTCTTTTAAAATGTTTCCCCCAATTGCCATCGTCGAAAACTAACAATAAAAAAACTGAAACAATTTTATTCAGGCAGGGTCCCAGTTTTACTCCATCCCTCTATAGGGCTTTAAAACTGACTTATCCCTGGGATATTAGCGGTCTCTCCCATGACTGTAGCATCAAGAGTGAGATGGGCCAAGGGTGAATGAGAGAGGGTGTTGTTATACTTACACCGACCATGTTCAAACCAGTTTCCCAACGCTCATTGGACTGATAATGGCTCTTTGTTTAGCAACTTTGAATGCCCCGGGGCCTGAGAGATCGGAGTCTCGCAGGACGAGATTGTAATTCTTCTGTGGCACCGGCAGAATCTTTACTCGGTGGCGAGGCCGGAGTATGTGCCTCACACATATACCTGATTCTCCTTTACCGACTGTTCGTACTTCCTCTCCCGTCTTCCACTCTATTTGATTTCATAAGGCTCTTGTTCTCCTTCTTGTCAGGAGGCAAGTCTTCCAACATGTTACGAGACCTGTTACCTCCACCCTTCTGAGGACAGTCTGGGTGTGCCTTGCGTTGTGATTTGTCGACATACGCTTCGTATCTCTTACCTGGACCGGATGTGTTTGCAACCGGATGAGAATGGCAAATTCTGGAAGGAAGGCGCCCGTAAGAACTTCCATCCGTGAGAAGTGTGCGTTCGTGCGAGGAGAAGGCCGGCCGTTTACATCAAGGCGAGTACTTCTATCGCGAATGTCAGCTTGCGCAAGTACATCTTTCGGGCGAGGACGTTAGTGAGGGGGGATGACGTTCAGGATCATTTGATAGGCGATCTCTGACGAAGCAGAAAGCTCGCTCCATATGGTCTTGGGCGTCAGGGTTGAAATATCTTACTAATACTGAGGCATCACAAACCTGGTTGGTGATTCGAGGGACCCTCTGGGTCGGCAAAAAGCTTTGGCGGGTTTGGAAAGGTCTGCAAACTGTATTCACTGCGATGAGGCGGTGGAGATCATTGGTCTCGCCTTTTTTCAGGGTCGTAGTTGTACAAATTTGATGATAGCATCATGCTTTGCGGAAAGTTCTTTGTCTTCGATGCCCAATCTATTTGTAACAATGTCGTACCGCCGTTGACTAAGGCTGAGCTCTGTGTTCTTGTGCTTACTATGCGATTCGTGATATGGAC